AAAGAATGCAACACATCTGTACTTACTTGATATGAAAAGAGCACCAGGATGGATTGTTCAGGGGAAAAGCAAGGTACAAAACGGGGACATCCTGAACCTGTATGCACCCTTACATTTGCTTGTGTGTGCAGAAATACCTGAGGCAGTGGGTGACCTGGATGGGCGTGCAGGGCTGCAGAGAACTATGTGGAAAGGATGATCCAGTTACATAAAAATGACATTTATAGACACTCATGCACAAAGGGACGTCTGTGAGAGCAAGCACCAAACTGTCACAAGTGGGAGAAGACCTTTATTTTTTTATTTTTAAGCTTTATAGTTGGCCCCATTATTTCTGAAATTTTTAAAAATCCCCACAACTTGACGCAGGGAGGCAGGTCTTATCCTATAGTTGAGGAAACAAGTTCCAACGGGAGGTGTAGTGGCTTGAGGTGAAAAGGTAGAGCTATTTCTGACAGGGCCCTTTCCTCATAAGAGGGGGTCATGGTGGAGTGGGAGGAGGTGCTGCCAGATGCCCTATCCAACAGAGGCCCAGCAGCCAAAGGCTCCCTAAGATGGAGTCGGACAAGAGCTCTCTCCCAAGATGTGAGTCCCAGGGGAGGCAGAAACCAGTATGGCTGTGGTGCCGAGGTCTTGAAGCCCGTGAACACTACCTCATTCTGCCTGAGTTCAAGACCTGGGAACCCTGCTACGTTACAGCAAAAGCCCCAAGTTTCTGCATTAGCTACCACTTCCCTGGCCTGGTGGCTGGGTGACAGAGCCTCAGGCTCTACTCCACCCCACCCCTCCCACAGAGGGAGGTAACAATTGGAGGTTTGTTTTGGTGGCCAGGCCTGGGCCTGCCGGGCCTGGTCACAGTCTCTCAGAACCCAGGAACCTTCTCTGCCGGCCTCCGCTATCCTGGTTACCGAACTGAGTGGCTTTGTCACCTCCACAGTCCAGGAGTGAGGAGGGGGATGGGTTAGGCTGCAGGTCCCAAGCCAATGCCACAGGGCCGCACACTTCCCCCTTTGTTCCAAGCCTTCTCTGCTCTCTCTGCCAGTCTGGGGGGAGGAGGGAGCTGGTTTTCTGCACCCTTGGAGCCACAGCCCAGTTCCAGGCCCTGACACCCTGTGACCAAGAGGTGCTAGGTAAAGCTGAGCTCCCTCAAGTCATAAGCTGATTACAGGGGAATTTGGGGCTGACCCAGCTCTGAGGCAAGTCGTGCAGGGGTCCTTAACCGCTCAGCACAGGGCAAGGGTCATCACGACGACAATGTTTACAACGTATACCTGACCTGGCTGTACAAAGGGTCTATTAGCAGCCACCACCCTGATTCGGGGCACTGAGGCCGTCTCACCACATCCACAGAGGTAGCAAACTTCCACCATTTTATAGAAGGAAATCAAGGCTGAGGAAAGCCACTTCCCGAAGGTCATAGCTTTGTGAGGATGTGTTTTGTTTCCATTCACAGGTTGTCAAGTTACGTGTAATCCTGCCTAAGAGTCTAGTCGATGTGTAAACATCAAAGCTTTTAGACCCTTACTGCACCCAGAAAGAGCTTGGAAAGTCCTGATGTCTGGGAATTCCTGCTCATTTGGGGTGGACAACGGCACGTAGGACAAGGGTATGCAAAGGGAAGCATCTTTTTAAAAGAAAAAAAAAACAAACAAAAACTGCAGAACAGCTCAAGATTTTTGGACAAGTCTCTGCCTTCTGTGGCTTCAGTTTCCCCACTTGTCTAATGGAGGGCTGGGCCATGCTCTGCAGGGGTCCCTCCAGTTGACTTTCCCTTAACCTCAGGTCTTTCTAGAAAGAAATAAGTTTTGCAGTGGGAGGCTCAGTGTGTGACCTTGGGAAAGCCATTTTTCACTAGACCATGATGTCATCCTCCCTCACAGGAGAGGCAGGGCAGCCACATTAGCTGGTCCATCTCCGTGCCTGTTATTCTCATCCACGTACTACCACCACAAATCAGGTCCTGACAAACCCCTGCTGGGTTACAACTGGCCAGCGGGGGTTTTAATGATTTACCGGCTAAGGATACTCAGAGTCCAGGCATGCTAGAACTCCCCCAAAACTCATATTGCCAGAAAGCTAGACTCCCGGACAGAGGAAACAACCCAGGTGCAGGTCACCTGGGGCCCAGGTAAGGGCCACACATCATAGGAGTTCAAAGAGGGAAAGATCATTTGCAGGGTTTCTATAGAGATACATTTTCTTCTGAATTCTCATATACTCTAAGGATGAATTTATGCTCTCTGTATCACTGAGGGGCTGAGGAGCCCTGCAGATTTCTGATTTCCCCTTCATGTAGAGGACAGACATGGCAAAGATTGCTGGGGTGCTGAGAAAGACTAGCTGGGAGTCCTTCTCAAGTGGGGGGTAGGGAGGCCACATCCCAGGGCAGGGCTGCCCCCTGCTTGCCGCCCGGAGGGTATATGAGTGAACCCCCAGTTGAGAGGGCAGGGGATTCCACTTGCCCCCTCCCTACTTCTACTCAGTTAAACTCACAACCACAGGTTGCACGGGGTCAAAACAGGACATAAGGAAGTCACTGAGTCAATTCCTCATTCCTACATAAAGCGAATGCAGCAGAAAGAACGTCAAGAGTCAGATACACCTGGTTTTAAGACTTTGGGCAAGTGATACAACCTCTCCAGGCCTCAACTAAAATCCGGCATAAATGTGTTGTGTTTGCTGATCAAATTAGCAGTCTCCCAAGAGAAGAGCTTTATTCCAGAATATATATAAAAGGTCATCCATAGAGGACTTAGCCACACCCCATTACCCCCAAAAAGAAAAAAATTATAACTTCTTTTTTTTCTTTTTGGTGGGACCCTTGCCGGTGGCCAGGGATTGAACTGGCGCTGCAGAGGCTGTGGGCAGCCTCGCAACCCAGCACTCAACCGCTGCAGCACCACCAGGGGAGGCCCAAAATCACCATAACTTCTATCTGTATTTTTGTCTTTTGAAATTTCTATTTCATGTAAGCATCTAATCTACTAGTGCAACGGTGCATGTATGTGAATTCACAAAACAGATAAAGGACTCACAGGGAGGTGCTTCAAAGTTATCTACTGATTGGACACAGTCAGGTTTGGAGAGTATTATATGAAAAACACCCACCTGCTAAAGCAAACACTCTCCTCCCTTCCCTCAGCCCCAAATGCAAGACACACGGCAGCGGGTAGAGCTGGTGGAGACTGGAAGCCCTTTCGGATAGGTGTAGGTTCAAATTCAGCTCAATCCCTTACTAGCTATGTGACTTCAGGAAAGTCAGTGCCTTTTCTGAGCCCCAGGCTCTCGGTCCAGTAGGGCTAGATGGATCAGCGACACTGACAAGCATTTTAGCCAAGAGACTAGTAACTGTAAGTGGCTATGGGCCTTCCCCTCCACTCCAAATATTCATGTATCCACTCAACAGATTAAACACAAGGTCCTGCATCACTGGCTGAACAGACAGTTCTTACCCCTGAGGATGTGAAAAAGTTATCCTGAGCTTACAGATGGAGAAACTGAGTCTCAGAGAGATCGCGTGGCCAGCCAGAGCCCTGAGATAACAGTCAAGTGCTTGGACTTTGGGGTCTAAAGCCCTTGCTTCTAGCTAAAATCCCTTCTTTTATTTTAATTTTGTTATATTTCAGCATAAAGGTTCGCTCCTGATTGTCAGGAAATCTGTTCAGAGGCAACATCTTCCCGCAAGCCTGGAGGAGCAGGGAGGCCGTGGGGGGAAAGCAAGTTGTCTGGATTCAACAGGAGCAACTCTTGCCCACTGAGGATGCACCGTCACAAACCATTCTGCCCCCCACTCTGCCCCGCAGGACACCCCACAAGGCAGGGACGTTCAGTGCTAGAGTTGTAGGTTAAAAAGTGGGCATCCACGTGCCTTCCCAGCGAGATGAGAAAATTCAAGAGGATACGAGGGAGTGTAGGAGAAGAAAAAAGTGACTTAAAAATACTCAATTCAAGGGGGAAAGGAAAAGGAGGACGAAAACAATGCCCAGCACCCGGGGGAGGTTCTGTAAGTATTAGCTGAAAAGGAACCTCTCAGGCAAAGTCACAAAGACACGCCCAGGACAAAAGCAGTTTTACATGAGAAAAGGAATCCTATTCCAGCAGTAGTGGGTCCCCCGAAGAAGAGTCCTCGCCTCCCCGGGGCCCCCGCCCTCGCCGGCGCTCCTCCCGCTCCTCTCCCAGCCAGAGGTCTCACCCCGGCCTCCTGGGGTCTCGCAACGGCGGCCCCGAGGGTGCTCTCTCCACCCGGCCTCCTGCTGCCCCGGCCGCCCAGAGGAAGGTGCCACCTCGGAGCACATCCTCCCGGGACTTGGCAAAAGCTTGGGCCTGTCCTACTCGCAAGAAAGGCCCTCAAGAGGCCAGCTCCTCCACGCAACCCTGCAGTCGGGCGCCCGGAGTTGGAGCCCGGCTTCAAGCACGCGCCCTCCGCCCAGCAAGCGCGGCCGTCTGGCTCCAGGCGGCGGAGAGCGCCCACCACCAGGCCGCGCACTCGGGGCGCAGCGCGGCTTGGGGAGCAGCGGTCCGCGGACCGCGCAGCGGGGGCGGGTCCCGCCTCCTCCGCGAGCCGGGGCCGGGGCCGGGCTGGGGGCTCGGCCCCGCTCAGCCAATGGGCGCCCGGCTCGGGCCCCCTCCCCCGCACCGGGAGGAGCCGGCGCAGGGCGCAGCCGGGGAGGTCGTGCGCGACGTGCGGCTCCGGGCCCGGCTCTCGGCTGTCCCGCCCGGCAGCGTGGACGGCGCGGTGGCCCGGAAGGAAGCCCGAGACCCGGCGCGGGCCGCACGACGCACGCGGCACCCCGCGCCCGCCCGATCCCGCGCCCGCCCCCGTGCGCCCCTGGCCCCAGCAGGGCGCTGCGCTCCAGGCCGGCGCCGGGAGGCTCCGAGGCGCACGCCGGCCGCCCCGGGGGCGCCGCGCCGCTGGGCCGCGGGGAGGCCCGGCCTGGCGGCGGGGTCGGAGGGGTCCACGCCTTTGTTCCGGGCGGGGAGGGCCCGCGCGCGCCGCTCACCTTGCTGCTGGGCTCCATGGCCGCGCTGCGCTGGAGGCACGGGCGGCGCTCTCCGGCGGCGGCTTCTGCTCAAGTCCCGAGACTCCGAACGCGACTCTGACTCCGACTGCGTGGCCTCGGCTCCCAGGCGCGCGCTCTCCCGCTCCCAGCGGGCCCCGAGCTCCGCGTTCGCTGGAGGCACCTCTAGTTGCTCCAGAGCCCACGGGCCAAGGCGTTTATAGGACCCCAGGCTGCCGTGCGTGTTCTGAGTGGAGTCCTGGGCGGAGCCTGGGGCGGGCCTGGGTCACGTCCGGGGCGGGGCTCCTCGGGGAGGGGTCCAGGGGCGGGGAAGGGGTGTGGGAGGGTTCCCCGCTCGCGCTTCGCTGGGCCCGCTCTCTACGCCTTGGGTCTGCGGGGCGCGCTGCTGTGTGACCCTGAGCAAGTGTGCTTGCCTTTCTGAGCCTCAGCGGCCTTCAGCAAAATGGTGGAGCTGGTACCAAGGTGGAAGGCAAACGAGGCTCCGCACAGGGTAGGACTCTGCAGTCTTCATTCGGTCACTGAATGACTTATTATCAACCTCAAGCTGAGGCTGGTAATAGTACCACCTCATCAGTCTGTTATGAAGAGTAAGTGAGTTAATATTTGTAAAGTGTTTAGAACAGCGCCTGTTGCACGGTATTTAGATATTTGTTACACTACAGGAGGTCTCCGGGAGTTTCTCCCTTTCCCCCCTCCACATGCCTGTTTGCAAGTCAAACCTTGCTTTAGCACAGGCTGGGCCCTCAGCCTAGAAATTCTCAGGTACCTCTTTTGTGGGCTTTAATATTACCTCCTCTGTGAAGCCTTCCTGTATTCCTGACAGCATATATGAATCTACCCTGACATGTAAATGTGAAAGATAAGAATAGCAAGAACACAGGAAACCTTGGTTTGACCCAGCTCCACTGTGTACTAAGCTGGTCCTAGGCAAGGTGCTGACCCCTGACCCTCAGTTTTCTTATGGATAAAACAATTAATATCACCACCAACCTCACGTACTAGCATGAGAGACACAATTTCCAGACAAGTTAGTGGAGTGTTTAGCTCATCATGGCACAGGAAAGCCTCCTTTAGTGGTAGTGGTGTTATTTCACTCTGTTTTATCTGACTGTACCTTTTTCCTAGATCAGTGCCTTCTTGAGACAGTGACGCAGGAAGGACACAAGTCCAGAGGTCTGGCCAATATCCTGAGGCGAGGTAGAGGGTCCCTTTCCCTGTGGAGGGCTCTGGAGGAGCTACTTTGTGTTGGAGAGGAGGCTGATCCCTGCAGACCTCTGTCTGGACTGTGTTTAGTGCTGGCTCAAGGGACACCCTGGCTGGGCATCGTCCCTGAAGGGAAGGCAGGTCCACAACCCTGACCATGGCTCCTAGTTCTTTGGTCTCCCGGCTGCTCAGCCTGGAAAGCTAAGGGCCACCTCTCTCCTCATCTGGTACCAGAGGCCACCAGTCCTGTTGATTTTACCTATACCACTCATCCTCCCTCACCCCTGGTCTGCAGGCGCCCAGCTCCTCCAGGGCTGACCCCTACTCTCCAGCTCATAGTCCATCTTGTCATAGAAGGAACCAGGCCCACACTGGCCATCAAGGCCCTCGGGGCATCAGTTTCCAAGCTCAGCCTCACCTTCGCCCCAGTACTTTCTACATTTATACCTTTGCTCAGATGGTTCCCTGGGCCTGACTCCCCCCTCCTCCACCCTGACATGCAAAATGCTCCTGATCACACAGAGCACTCCTGGGAATTGCTCTTGAGTGCCCAAGGGGGAATCTTTCTCTTTTTTTTTTTTTTTAATTTTTTTGTAAGATTTATTTATTTATACAAGAACTGTGGTATAGGTCAGAGGCGCAGGTGGGTGAGAGGATTTACCAGGGACAGAGCGGGGAGCAGAACAGGCAGATGGACCAAAAACACTGCTGAGGGGAGCAGCGGGCGAGGAAGGAGAGGTCTGCCGCGCCATGTGGGCCTTTCCCCGGCTGGCTGGGAATCGAACCCGTGCTGCAGATGCTGCGGAGAGCTGCACAGTGCACGCTCAACCCGCTGCACCTTGGGGAGGCCCTGAATCTTTATTTTACCCTTTGGTGCTTTTTACTGTGCCGCTTATCTTCTCTGTCCTCCCCTAGTCTGAACACCTGGAAGACACATATGTACATGAGTGCAGGAATGAAGGAACAAGTGAGTGACTAGGCTCTCAGATTCCTGCCAGTTTGCCACTTCCCTGCTCAGTCTCAGCATAGCTCCCTGTTTCCAGCCCACCCAGTCTACTGTGTGTGCCCATTCCCAGATGTGTCTGCTCACTCAGCCCATGGGTCACACTCACCATCAGGCACCTCTACCTTCTCCAGGCCAGCCCTATGCTGGAGACTTTCCCAGGGACAGAGACAAGGAATCCCAAACTGAAGCGGGTACAGGAGAGGAGATAGACAGCACCCTACTAGATTGTGTACACAGGGATAAGAATGAGCACAGGAGCAGAATTTGTGCCATGGAGGAAAGAGAACTAGAGTTGCAGAGAATGAGGAGGCATGCTGAACAGGCTTTGGAAAGCGGGAAATGAATTCTCCAGGTAGACCACGAGGAAAGCTGTTCTTGATAGAAGGAAAAACACTTCCTGAGACAGGAGATAGGCAGAGGGTAATGCTGAAAGGAAGAAAGACTCTAGACCACACTCAAAGACTGAGTCAGACTGGATCCAGGCTCCTGACCTGGATTCCGACTCTGGATTCGGACTCTTGTCCTTTACTTGCCAAACATCACTGAGCCAAGTCCCTTTTCTTCTTGGAGCCTCAATACCCACATCCGTAAAATGGGTATAACGCTGCCCTCCTGGATTGGCTTGAGGAACAATGGATGTGTGTAAACGTTATCCAAATAGACCGTCCTAATTCGTGATGTCAGATCAATCAAATCCCTATCCTATGGTCAGGGTGACGTTTGAAAACAAAGTAGAGTGGCCAACAAAACAGCTTTACCTTTGCCCCACCCCACCATACCTGCCCAAACAGACCCCCATTACCTGCTTGAAATTCCATTTCTAGGTGTTCTCTCTCTGTAAAAATTTTATGACCCCTGGAGGCTACTATTTGGAGGCAACTTCAGCAGAAGCTATTGACACTGGATGAGAGATTAGATTGTCAGCCTGGCTAGTTTATTATTGGGATAGTTGAATCTGGAAAACAGGATTTAACTTCAGTGAGAGAGGGAACATGGGAGAAAGCCCAAGGAAATAGGTGGTTTCTGAGCCTGGAAGGGTGGGATGCAGGAGAGGGAGTGTGAGCACCGGCCTGGAGAGGTGTGCTGGAGATGCAGCCAGAGCCAGGACAGGCAGGCTCAGCGGCTCCTGTGGCCGGAGCCGAGGGACTTGGGAAAGAGAGAAGACGAAGATGGAGAAATGTGAGTGAGTGAGAGAAGAAACCGAAGAGGTGGGGTCCCTAGAAAGGCCCTCAAATGCCAGTCTAGGAGTTAGGGCTGTATTCTGCGGGCAGTGGAGAGAAACGAGGGTTTTGAGCAGATAAAGGACACAAGGAAACCTCAGCCTCCTCCACCCTGAGGCTTTAGAGGGAGGGACAGGAGGAGACTCTGGAACCCTAACTTTCAGCTTGGAGTGACTCCCCTCCCCAAACTGTGCTTAGCTTTGTTTCCTGAAGGCAGCCTTTAGCCCTGGAAGGAAAGCAGACTTTTCTGGGTCTGATTCCAAGCAGTTCCAGACGTAGCCAGTCAGAGAAAAAGAGCTCCGTTGTCAAAAGTTGACTGGCGGAAGGTGCCAGGTGGCTCCTGGTGCGTGCCTGAAAGCACACACAACCGCACAGGCCTGGGCTCTGGGTGGGTGACTGGGCGGTGCTATGCAGGGCGGCTCCAGCCTCTGGAGTCAGGAGTGAGTAAGGGGGGGGGGGAAGGGCCTTTTTTCTGGCCTTTAAAGGCAACCGTCCCTGGCACCCAGGAGAATAAGCTTTGCTGAGTCAGCTGCAGCTGATGCAGGGGGAGTGGGGTGCTGCTGGCAGGGGCTGCAAGAAGAGAGCTCCTAATCTGAAGGGTATGTTGCAACTCAGATCCTCCCAGGTAAACACTGTGTTGGACTCCTGGAGGACCTGATGGGCCAAGTGGAACCGTTTTGTGCTTTAATATTTTCTTTCTGTTTTACGCACCTGTTCAAATCACCTGCTCCCAGAGAACTTTTCAGCTTCTCTCCTTTGTGCCTTCGTGTGTCCCTCCCCAGCCCTTCATTAGTGCCCTCAGGGGCCATCGCCTACTTGCTGCTGCTGGGGCATGTTGAAGAAACGGAAGCCCTCCTCCATTCTCTGCTGAGCACGAGCCTTGTCTAACACTACCCTAGGAAAGTCCTCTGAATGTCCCTTGGGTACCTGTCCTCAGCCATGCTTAAATCTAGACTCTTCGTTTTCCTATATCCTTCCTAGTCCCCACCCCATAGATGGCTCCTCTGTCTACCAAATTGCCCTCCTCAGAGATCTGGCATCTTCGTGACTCCCCTCTATCTCCCCCTTAGTCTCACAATCCAGCGGCCTCTGTCCTTCTAAAAGATCACTGGACTCCATCCCCACGGGCAGGGCTCTAGAATCCTTGCTCATTCACCCTCCCACCTGCCACTGCCCATGAGGCTCAGCTGGCCTCATGGTTCCCTCACTCATACATCTCTCCGTGGCATGCGACCACGTGGCTAAATCTCACAGACATGCTGTTGACAGGACACATACAAAAGAGCATGATTCTGTGCACAAAAAGTTCAAAAACAGGTGAGCCTTATCTAGAGGACTCGATGTCAGAATAATAGTTGCCTTGTGGGGCTGGCTGATAATCGGGCTGAAGCAGGTGAGGCAGGGTCTGATTCCAAGCAGAGTTTTTCCTTGTGTCCTCAGCTTTAATATGACTCAACTCAACACTCACTGTTACTAATCCGCTCTTTATTTAAGATGTTGATAGCTTGTCATTATGGGGTTTTTTTGCATTAATTTTTTAATATATTACATTAAAAGCATATTTATCTTGATTACTAAATATTTTGGCACCCCCTTAAATTTTACTCTGGAGGTGAGTGCCCCGCTGCTGCCACACCCAGGCCTGAGCCTGCTGGTAATGTTTTGTAATCAGGGTGCTGCAGGTCACACAGGTGTGTTCAGTTTTTGAAAATCCATCAAGCTGTGCATTTCCAATTTTTGCATTTTGTAAGATGAAGTAGATTCACTTTATGCTTCAATTTAAAAAGAATGTTTTTTTCTTTACTTAAAAAAA